AGCAATTTGTTAAAAGTAGATTCTGAATATCTGTTTTTTAATTCAAATATCTAAACAAAAATAATTGGTCACTATATACTACACCCAAACTTTAGAAGATTAGCTCTAAAATAATCAAAATTCAGAGTTGAACATATTAGAGCTAGTTATATTAGCAAATATTATTTACTAAACAATAGACTATTTACTGTTTGGTAAAATTTTGGGGTTGTTATACTAAAATAGTAACCAAATATGAAAAAATTTTATTTTGTTAAATATTTATAAATTAATCATAAATATAACTTTGATATAAATTTAATATCACTTTAGCTAAATATTAAATGATTTCTAATATAATCTTAACAATTAAAATTAATATTTTATTTAGAGTATAATTTTTTTTAAAATAAAATAAACTCTGAACAACTTCACAATTTTGGTTACAATTATTAATATATTAAGAAAAATAAAAATAAGGCTTTTGAGTATTGCATAAAAGTAGCTAAGTTAGAAGATTAGTCTTTGTTATCATTATAGAATTTGAATAGAAAAAAATTTACCAAAAATCATTTGAATAATATAAAAAATCTGGTGATTTGAACAATGCTTTTGCAATATGTAATGGAGTTACTAAGGATATAAGGATAATCAAGATTACAATAAAGTACTTAAAAGTCTATTAATATAGTTGCTAACAGAAAAATAGTTAATATTGCTCTGTATTATTAAAGCAGTGCTGGTATAAAGAGAGATATTTAAAAGGCATATTATTGGTTTAAAAAATATAGAAGTACTTTGAAAACTAATAAATCACCAGATTATATCAATTTTAAACTTGAAAATATTTGATGATAATATGAGATTTAAAATATGTTGGATAAATTATAATAATTTTAGAGATATCAAGAAAAATTAGAAAGAGGATTTGCAGCTATATATTATACATGTTGATATAATAAAATTAATGATTTATAGTGGAAAGTTGCACTTAAAGTGATTTATAATTCAAACAAAAATTTGCAAAAGTTTATTCAGAAATTAAAGACTTATTGTGAAATTGGTTACAAGAATTATTTATTTATAGTATGTAGAGAAGTATCAAGAAATAATGCTGATTATATTATTGTTATGCATTATATATCAAAAGGTTCATTACATATATCTGATATTTACAATCTTGAAGTTAAAGTTACTAAAATTTCTACTAGACAAAGAGCATATAAGAGAATTCTATTTGATGGTAATGTATGAAAAAAAAACTAATAGTGAATCAAGAACTAAATGTTTAGGGCCAGATTGTTATATTAACTTGTTATAAAATATAAAATGGATCAGAAAGATAATAATAACAATTTTGGAAACTAATAAGATTAAACCTATATAGATGATCATTGTGATAAAAATTAAAAAGAGTTGAAAAGGATCAAAATGAAACACTCAGTTATTATTGAAAAACCTGCAAATATAGTTAGTAATTGAGTAATTTGCTGTTTTGAAAATTGCTATAAAATGGAATTGATGTCACAAAGGATGAACTTATTATTATTAAAAACCTATTAATATGGATTTCACTAATGAAAAAATGGACAATGAACATATCAGAAATGAAAAAGTAATGTGATAAATGAAAGACAATTAATTCAAGTGAAGAATAAATAATGATGAACAATATCATCAACATGGAGTTGAGGCATATGAACATAAGAGAATTCAATTGAAAGTTGTAGTATAGAATATGTGAATTATCCTTTAAGTCTGGTAATAATGCTAACAGCAAATCAAATAACAATGAAATAATAGATTATGTTATTGAAAGAGCTTGGGTGTGAACAACAATAATAAATAGTATCTGGATAAAATATAAAATTAACTAATATAACCAATATTGTAACTTATGTAGGTTAAGAAACCAACTATTGTAGGAGTCTTTGTGGTTTAAGATAATATGGTAAGATTTGATAGGCAAAAGAAATAAGAAAATGATAAATAAAAAGGGGAGTCAGTAAGCTATAATATTAAAGTACTTACCTACTATTTCTCTTCTAATAACCTATAAGTTATATAAATACTAGAATATAAATAAGTACTATACAGAGAAGAAAAGAAAATAAAAAAATATTAAAGATTAATAACTCATAAGTTGTGTAAATACCCTAGTACTGGAATATAAATAAATACTGTGCAGAAAAGAAAAAAAAATTTTATTACATAATATCTACATATTGAGATGTTGGTATCCTGTCTTTACTTTTATTCATAGTCAATGAGGACCACACACTAATATAAAATTAAATTATAATTCAGGCCAACTGGCTCAAAATTTTTTATAATTCAGGTCAGCATTTTAGCATGATCTAATTTTAGCATAATCCACCACAACCATTATATTATATAATGCCTATTGGATTAATTATTAGAATAGCTATTAGATTAACAGATAGATTTCAAATATCAGATCTTAGCTATTATATTATATAATACACATTCTATCAATTGTTATACTAACCATTATATCAACATGCACACATTGCATTAATACTTACTGTATATTCCTGAAAATAAGCTACTCTGAAAATAAGCTAGCTACTTCCTCACTTTTGAGCAAAAAACTATGAATTCTCTCTTACCTGAAAATAAGCTACCCTGAATTTTTCAAAATTTTTTAATAGTTGATATATATAAAAGTCAAAATTGTACTAAGTAAATATATATTTTGACCTTAATGAAGTTGTTCAGAATTTAAAAATACAAAATTCTAAAAGCTTCATGCAATTTAGATAACTTTTTATTAATAGATTTTTGTATTTTAAACTCAAATTTAAAATGCAAAAGTGTACTAATAAAAAGTTATCCAAATTCTATGAAACTTTTAGAATATATGTATTTTTAAATTCTGAACAACTTCTATTAAGGTAAAATATATATTTACTTAGTACAATACTGACTTATATATATATAAACTACTTTTACTTAATAATAAATAGTCAAAAATTGTCAAAAACCTCTATTACTCAAAAATAAGCTACTCTCAAAATTTTTGTGTAATTTTTTGCCCAAAAATGGTAGCTTATTTTCGGGAATATACGGTATTTATTGTATTAATTCAAATAACTTATCGGGTAATTCAGTTATTCATCCATTTATCCATTTTCTATAATTATCCATTTGATATCCAGATAAATGGATAAAGATTAGAAACCTACTTTTGGTAATTTCATAGTATTAATTGTTTAAGAAGCGTGCATGTTTTAAAATATCAATAAATATATATTCTACCTGATAATTGTTTTATATTTGGTAACTAACATTAAAATATGCATTATTTTATTCATGCATTTTAATAATAATGGATTTCCTTTTAATCGTTATCTATTTGCAACTACTGCTACGTATAGTGAAAGATATGCATTATTTTATTCGTGCATTTTAGAAAAATCGAACTTCCTTTTTAATCATCATTTGCAATTTTTTTATATATACAACCAGATGTTCGATAAGTGAGAGTATAGACTACAATCGTTTAAAATTTGTGAAACCCAAAATTACCAAAAAAAGTTAAGTTAAAGAATATCAATTACCAAAAATAAATGCCAATACAACCAAAATTTACCAAAAAAGTAATTTAGAGTAACACCAAGCGTTAACAATAATTTCTAAGCGCTAAATAAATAATAACGATAACTAACTAACTAATAACTAATAATAAGCGCTAATAACTAAATAACTAATAACTAATAACTAACTAATAACTAAACTGGTGATTATCACTGCCGGTTATTCTAAGTAATTTTCTTTAAATATTATTATACAAAATTTCTTTTAAATATTTTTAAATTTAACAAAAATAGATCAAACATCACATTTTTAACATTTTATTGCCCGCCAACTAGTAACGGTTTAAGGGATAAAACTTTGTTTATAGTTATCTAATTGTTTTTTGAAATAACTTAGAATCTATTAAACTAGTAAAATCTTGAAAGAATTTATATAAAATTAAATTTTTTAAACATATACAAATTATAACTAATATTAAAATAATAATTCAAACAGATTATTGTAATATGCACAATTTAATTCAGAATATGATAAACTATACTTATTGTGCTTACATATGTAGTTATCCAATTTAGGATTTATCAAAAAAAATATCTTTTAGATAAATAATAATTAATACTATTTTGAATCAATATTTAAAGATTTGGTTAACTTTTGAATAAAGATTTATAATCTCTAGCTTTATGAAATTTTTTTTTGATCCTATAGCAAAATATCTATATTTACCAAGGCTTTCTCAAAGTCTTTACCGTACAATAAACCTGAACCCGACATTATAATGCATTTTTATTATTTGATTTAATTTCCAAAGATTTAGTCAAATCTGCAAGAGATTCTTTATATTATTGTTGCGGGGTTAATGAATGTATATAGTTATACACTCAATTCTGCTCAGGGTTCGTTTAGTCTTGCACTCGCTTTGTACACAGCTACGTTCCTTACTCAAACACTGTCCTCTACAATATAATAACTTCTCACGTCCTTACTAACTCAAGGCACTAAGTTACTATTACTTGGCACAGGTTATTTCTTAAGAAAACGAAGCATGAGTTCGATCTGCAAGATCGAACCTATTTATTTAATTACATTGTTTACATCTGATCACGTTCCACGATCAGTAACATGATCGTGACGCGTGATATTCGTTTAACCCCAGCACTACGAAATACAAGGGGTAACATAAAATACCACCACAATTATTTAGCGTGTAATGCGTTTGTTCCTGAAAACTTAGGATATTTGTATTATCTGGGGTTCATTGTACGTCTTAACATACTGTATGTATATTCTCGAGTTATTACAACTATCCTATTAAAGTTTGAAATGATTCGTCATAGTTCTTTAATTGAACTTTTAATTCATTAAACATATAACATGCTTGTCCTCGAGTTTTTAGTGCAACAAACTTTTCTGGTTAAACGCCTAATAGCCTTGTTGAATTATCTATCGTTCTCCGTATATATTCAATATCGTCCCCGAACCAATATTGTAATTGTGTTTCTTGAATAAACTTTTAATAAAGTGGCCGAATCCTCGGAGATTTTTGAACAATCTTGACTTAACGCGAAATTGTCTGCGGTAATTTAGTGCAATTGTTAGGGTTATGCAAGTGCTGGTATGTGCTCTATTAAAACATAGCGCCAGGCAGGGGAACGGGAATAATGTTTTAATAGTACGTGTGCCGGTATTTGCAGAATCCCGGTAATTGCATTATTGGAAGCAATTTCTAATGATTTAGTTAAATCTGTCAGCGATTCTTCGAAACGATTATATGTTTGACTTCGGGATCTTAGTCTAACTGCATTATTAGAACTAGGCTTTAATAATTTACGTTCTGAAAGAGATTCTTCATGACGTCCTAATTTACGATGCATTTTCCCTCGAGATCTTGGCGTATCCAAGTCATTTAAATCTTTTTTATGCTTTTGCATGTGTAATGTTTGTTTTCGAAATCTTAGCGCGACGGTATTAGTTGGTTCCATTTTTAATGATTCATTTAAATCTATAAGTGATTCATCATAACGGCCTAACATATAGTATGCCTGTCCCCGAGATATTAACGAAGCCAAATCATTATTTTTAATCTTTAAGTATTTAGTTAAATCTTCAACCGACTTTTCATACTTATTTTGTTTAAGGTAGGTTAATCCTCGGAATTTTAACGCATCCGCATCCTCTGGATTGATTTTTAATGATTTGCTTAAAAGTTCGAGAGATCTCTCATAGTTATTCGTTTTATAAAAAAATATTCCTTGATCCTTTAATTCTCTTGCTTCGTCTAACTTATGAGAATTTGATCGATTCGATATCATTTCAGGCTTAAGACTTCTTGGACTAGGTTCTCTATAAATCTGTGTAGATGGTACAACAGGTAAAGTAGGTGGAACGTTCCTGGTTAAAATAGGTACGGGTCGTCGATTACGATTTATAATAAACGCTTCAGAAGTTGTTTCTTCTAATATTTTGTCTAAAGTCGTCAAAATTTCTTTTGTTGTTGGACGCTTCTGTGGATCAAAATCCCAACATTTTTTATAAAGCTCTGAAAAATTAGTTGGTGTACCAGGGATTGTATCTTCTCG